TTCTAAAATAAAATGATTATAAAAACCGTTAATGTAATTATAATAAAATATGAAATATCATTTCCTGTATCAATAATTTTTATTTTAAATTTATATATTTCCGTTTTATTTTTTATTTTTATCATTAGTATTATTATTATTTCAATATTTTTCCTAAACAAAATACAGTCAGCTATATAAACATAAATATTTTATTTATATATAATTGGTAGTTGATTATAATTATGGTAAAAGAGAAATGAAATAATTAACATAATTTTCTGTTTGTTTTTTTTAAAAAAAAAAAACCCAACTATTTTTACACTATTAAACCAATGGCTGTAAATGATCATTTTAAACAATAATAAAAATATAATAATATGATAATAATGCAGTTGGCTAAATTTTGTAGGTTTTTGTTTTTTTTCTTTAAGAAAAGATTGCGTTTAATGCCTAATTTGTATTTAATTATATCATTTTGCAGATGAATAAATTTTTAATAGTAGAATGCATTTTAAGAGTATTTTTATTTGTTCGTTTTTTTTCTATCAAGTTTATAAACAGGTTGGTTGAAAAAAACGAAACAAAGAAAAAAATTAGATTTTTGAAAAATCGCGCTAAAACTAATTTATTAATTTATTAAGAATCAATTGACACTTATTATCTTCTTTAAGAACCATCAATTGTTTTTTCCAAATTTAACGAATACCAGTTAAATAATACATCTTTGAGAGATACATTTTTTGTAAAACATAATTCAGCTGTTTTCTATAGTAAAAGAAATAGTTGGTGTATCTTCAATTTTATGATAATATTAGACGATTAATTTTTTGAATATTAAAGATCATGAGTCAATTGAAGCTAGACTACCATGGAAAATCTGGAAGCACTAGAAAGCCATTTCGTCCTATTATGGGACTTATCAGCAGCCCGCATACACGGTTACGGGATTCGAACCCAGGTCCTATAAGTCTATTTTTCATTTACCACAATGTTATTTTTTAACAAGCAGTACTTTCAGATTCTATAATGAACTAAATTAGATAATATAAGATTAAATAAAGCAATTTTTGAACACACTGTATCTTAATTTTCAGAAGTGTTTCATGATTTCTTTTTATATTTAAATTTCCACTATTAACAACAACACGTAAACTGATATAATATCTTTAGTAATCTATTAAGAATGAAATTCTCTTTGAGTTGATTTAAAACAAGATACAAATTACGTAATTTTTAAGATCTTAAAGTCATAGATTAAGTTGTATTTGCTTTGTTTTTTTTCAATGACTGAAGAAAGTGTTTTCGAATTATTTAATTCTAATCTATACCATAGAGTTTTGCAATTAACTTATCGTTTTCTTAATCGTGTTTGGTTATTTTAAGATCAAATAGGAATTGTATTTGATACATTTTAGCAAACACATTTATCTTCATTACTATGAGGACATGAGTTAAATTATTTGAAACATCATATTGAAAGCTTTACAAGAATAAATATTTTGTGAATAACTTCTAAATTTGAAACAAATGTTTAATATCTTATTATAACTATAATTATTTAATTACTAAATTTTAATGTTAAATATGAATAGTATATTTAAAAATATATATTACACAACGAAAAGCATTGAGTTATAGATTGACTTCCAATTTAATCAAAGAAAATAAACTTCTTCATTCAGTAAATCATATTTTAACCATGTTAAATAAGAAACTAAAACATATATCATTTGTTTGAAAATATGTTTTTAATCATAGGAAAAAATGAAAAGTTACCACTATCTTTCTATTACTAATTGCTGTTATATATTCATCCTAATAAATGTCCAATTTATTGAACTGAATAATATTGGATTACATGAAAGTAACTGATAATGGTTGAGCTTTTCATTTTATAATCTTTCACAAACTTATTTATAAACAATACGAGTTATCAATCTATAACCCATAAGGTTCAGAGATATTTTAAATTGATAAATAAATGGAAAAAAAGATAAAAGACTCGCAGGTCACCCTCGATACTTTATATTGAATAACGAATATGCTAAAAATATTAGATGTTTTCACCAAGTATACTTATAAAACTACTGTAGGACATGAGATACTAGAACTCTGTGAGCAATAAATTGGCGAATTATATGTACTCTGATACATTTTTTTATTAAATAATGAAATTATTTTATAGTGGGAAATAATTATTTTGTAAACATAGTCAATAATGTACAAATATTTTACTTCGCAATTAACATCAAGCCATTTTTAAAAAAATGCATACCAACGTATTAATTAGTTTATTTATGCAGCTGTAATAATTTAATTGGAATAATGGTTGTACAAATAGAACACTTCAACTGGTAACCATCAACTCATATCATTTAACTGTTGACGAGATATTATCTTTCATAATAGAGTCTTATGCATTTATACAAAATACATTCCGCTCTAATTTAAGACGTGGAACAGTATAAAATTCATGGTTTTATTTTTGAGTTTCTCTGTCATGTGTTGAACGGCTATTTACGCAACATTATAGTCACAAACCTAGTTCAAAGTGAATGAAAAAGCAAATCTAACATATTAAGTTTTATGTATTAGTAAGATTTGGTAAATACCATAACTATCCATTTTTCTGAAATTAGGTGAGTTCAAGATGATTGAAACAAAAATATGTAATGTGTTTGAATTCAGCATGTTTTAAAATAAAAAGACAGACTTAAGTGGCAAGACTTAGAAAGAGCTGAATAAGAGATGAATAAGGCAACAATAAATAATATTAGATATTATCTAAGTTTACCTTCAATATTGTATAAATTGACTTTATATAGAGAGGAATCTCCAAGTAGTTCACATTTTCGTATGACAATGGTTCATAAACCCCTAATCGTTGATCAGAATGAAGGTGAACTCTTCACTTGGTATGTATATGCATAAAATCGTAGAGAGTTGAAAATTAACTCATCGGTATTGCATTTATGTTGATTAACTATGAATAGTTTTATGAAACATCATTTTCAAGTTAATCTCTTATTATTTAAGAAAAAATTATTAAGCCAAATATCGATTTTCCATGCACAGATTTTTAATTGTAGTAATCTTTTTCCTACTTATATTATATATATCTGTATCTTAATGTTTACGTTTTCCGTAGTTATTTTTTTTAAAAGTTGATGAGCAGTGCCTAAAATTTAAACAAGGCAATATATCAAGATTCAACTGAAATTAGATTACAGATTACTTTTGTTGATAGGACTGAAAAACGTGTATTCAGATTTTTTATAAACTATTGGAATATATTAGTACAGAGAGTTTGCAGAGATTAGGGAAGTGTTTGTAGTTTAAATCAAATACTAATCCTAATTAAACAAACATTTAAACCAGGAACCATTAAACAGTTGTTCCGTTCTCACAGGAGACTTCTCAACGGTACACATTCACGACTCCGTTAAGGAGAGAACCGATAATCTTAAAGTCTCGCGGTGATCTCTAAGCTTCTGTATCAACGGGTTGGCATTCAATAGTTTGCATATCTAATTTCAGTAAATACTCGATATAGGACGGCCATCTTCCATAGCTTGCAGCTGATAACTATTTGATGTCCCGTATGATCGAACTCTGCTAGTCACGGCTTCTCAGTAAAAACCATGAAATTACCAGTCGTAGTTTATCGCTAGTGAGCACAAGATTATTGCTGGAGACCAATAAAATTTCACAGCATGATACACAGCGATATCGCAAATCGATTGAGGTAAGGCACGCACACCAATGAATGCTAGCTCGATAGTCTGAATGTTAAGTAGTTATAATGAAACCGAAAGTCCTGGGTTCGATCTATGGTGGGGTCCTTGATGCACACTTCTGAGGAGTTTTATAATAGAATGAAAAATCTATCTAGTGGTTCTTGGTTCTAGATGGCTGTCCAGCTATGAATGGTATGTGGTGTGAAGTATTAGTGTTGAAGTATTCTAAATCCAGAGCGAGTACTTTTGTGTACTAAATAGAGAAGGGTGAGTTAAGGAAACAGTTGAATAACTCTCGTGCATTGATTGTCCCAAATATTTACCCGAGCTTTAAATCTTTTAAATCCATGAGCAAGAATGAGAAGTGAAAATCTCAGCAGGAAAACCAACCAATAGGTGTTGAATTTGACCCCATATAAGATTTTCGTTATGTAATATCGACGTATACAAACCTAAAACAGATAAAAAATCTACCGTTGTTTCCTCTAGTATGCCATTAAATCTCCGATCAAGATGAAACAATCCTTCAAACTAAATAAGTCTGCTGATACGCACTAAAACGTCCATATAACCTCCATCTCATTATATGTAACTCGTCAGATTCCAACCTTTGAGAGATTTATCACACTATTATGGTGTATCAGAAACACGGTGTGTAAACGCACTAACTAACTGATTTAAAAAACTGTTCAAAGATAAAATCACAAAACGAAATAAGTAAACAGTGAAAATATTTTCTTAAGTTCCAGTTTTATCTTACTTAACAATGGCAATCAAAGGTAGAAAATCAAAGTGCCAAGTTCAGGAAATACAAAGTTTCTTAGTTGAACATGCTTCTTACCTCTTATAAGAAAGGAATGATGACAGGTTTACCGTAACATGTGAAAGTATATTATAAAGATACGAAAACATATGACAATCAATCCCGAAACATCTAAATGATTCAACATAAGCACAAAGAAGGGAAATTTGGGAGAAAAAAAACACTGGATATCGATAACGATCACAATTTTCATTTGAAACAAACTTGTCAAATTAAGCAATATATATGAACTACGTTTTTGTAGACCAAAAGAAGACGTAACAATTTACATGAAAGTGAAACAAACATGCATGTTATTACATATGATGCATAGATTTATAAATATTTTTGCTTTATTTATTATTGCATCCACTATTTTTTGCTAACTAGTCAATAAATTTATGTATTAAAATTAAGCAGTTAGTGTTATCGTAACTAAAGTATTCATAAATCTCTTGATCACCTTACTCTTTTTATAGGCAATCTAAGTGAGAAATATCAAAATATATTTCATCGAAATCCACTTTTTGTTGGTATGAGAGTTCCATTTGCAAAAGAAATTGATCCATTGGATAAACGATTAGCTAAGGTTTCGAAACTAACTCTTGGATTTATAAAGGTAGTTAAAAACTGTGACACGTATTTTATATTACCTAAGAAAAGAGAACAAGGAAAGTATGGTAATCATTTAAATGAGTAGCCGCTTACTGAGTTATAATACTAATTTTAGTAAATATATTTGAAATTATACTTTATGAGTTGGCAGAGTTTGGAATCCGAGTATCACCGTAATTTTGTTTTTTCGAAGTCTGTTTTATTTGTGGTTTTTGTGGCAGTATTAGCACTGTTTTTATGTTGAGATGGAAAGTCTTAAAGTGAAAAACTGCAATAGCATCGCTGATGCATGAAGTGTTAATTACATTTAAGCTATCGAGATATTAGTCAACTAATATGTGCATGATAAAGACTTATTGCTGCAAAGATAATACTTGAGTCTGCATATTCATTCACTTTGAGAGACATTTTATAGCAAAATTAACACTACAACAAACCGAAAACTGTTTAACTGATAAAGAAGAAGAATTTTGTATTTGATAAGATTTCCCACGAGTAACTGAAAAATTTTGAAACTCCATTATCTACTATAAAGTCTTGACAATAGGTTAGGTTATGTTGTATTCCACCACAAATAAAATGATAAAAAATAAGCCACACATGCTCGGGCACGACTTTTATGCTGATTCAAAATGTTTTAGTTATAGAATCATGCCAATAAATTTCATATGCCATTGGCTTAAAATTATGAATTTAGTGTGATAACATATGTGAAAGTATAGAATAATAAATACAAATTATAGTAGGAATTTCGAACACTTTCATTTAATTATCAATCATGTCATGAAAATTATAACGCACTCATCAAACCAATAAATTAAAGTTTGGAACATAGATGATTCTGGGACTTCGTCATAGTAATTTATGAAGAATCACATGAAAACGAAAACACGCTTGTTGGTATTAAATAATTTAAATTTATATCCCATAGAAGAAACTCCTAATTAGTATGGGGGTTTAAAATTTTTTCCTGTATCAAGTTGATGTAAATATCAACTAATGTACATCAAACCTTTATTAATGAAATATTAATTTTTGAAACATTAGGCTGATAAAAAAGCCTGAAAATAGAATGAATTTACCAGTATGGGGTTTTGGAGATTGTTGAGTGTTTGATTAAGATCATGAGTCAATGAACGTTAGACCACGATCGGAAACCTGAAAGCACTGAACGACCGTTTCGTCCTCGTAAGAGACTCTCCAGCAGTGCTCATCCACGATCCCTCACTGCTAAGGAGTCCCTTACTAGGAAGAAACGGTCTTCCAGTGCTTCCAAGATTTTGATAGTGGTCTAACATTCATTGACTCGTGATTTCAATCTAGAATATTTTCGTCTTTACTTTGTTTAAGGTTTCCATTGGACCATGTTGTATGAGGCTTTTTGATGACTTTCCAAATGTGACCGTATAACGTCCATATAATCTGAACAATCAATATAAAATAATGTAAATAGATATGATATTTGAAGAGGTGGTTATTCACAGCTCTATATTCACAAGTTATACTCTGTATACTTGATTTTTATTAACCTATTCTTCCACACAATTATAAATATTTTGTTATACGTAAACAATAACTTTCACTTAATTTATTTTTGAATAACCTTGAATATTTTTTAATAATTTACAAAATCTTTAAATATTCATGGTTTGTTAGAGTTGTCTTCGAATCGATGCTAACGATCGACCGACATCATCTGCTCTTTTACGAAGTGAATATTTCACTAGTGAGAATTTCGCATCTATATTCTTGGAAGAGCTAAAAACATTAATTAAAAGCGAAACAAACTCAACTGTACCTTCATCCTCGACCAATAACACCAGTAGTAAGAATACCGTTAATAATCTAAACAATAATAATAACCAAACACAATATAAAAATGATCAACAATGTAAAATCAGTAATAATAACAGTGATTTTGTGCAGTCAAAGGTTTCTAACACAACCGCGACAACGATTACACCAATAATAACTTATATTACTACTACTACTACTACCACTGTCACTGGTAATACGTGTACTGATACTAGCACTACAACAACTACTGCCGTTAAACATTTTTTGTCAGATGTAATGAATGTGAAAAACCCAGATAAAGATAAAACAATAACTCCAGATCATGTTGATTTGTCAGTAACATCACAAGCTGGTCTACATAATAATGAAATTACTGAAGTGAGTTGTCTCAGCACATATTGATTTACACACATTCTAACTTGTAACAATGTTTAATAATTGACTAGAATTGTTTTAATTATGCAAATTGAATTGAATATTTGATGCAAATGAGCTATGAAGTTGAATTGATATCATGAACAGACCAATGTTAAACTACCATTGAAAACTTAGAAGTACTAGACGGCCGTTTGGCCTTACGTGTGACTCCTCTGTTGTGAGGCAGTTACTGGCTGGAGATAATAGTGAGTGGTCACGCAATATCATGGATTGGTTGAAGTTAGACATTAACACCGTTGAAAGCTGGCTCAGTGGTCCAGAGATTAAGCCTTCATCCACAAGACTGAGGACCCTGGGTCTGAGTCCCGCTTGCAGGATCGTGGATGTGCACTGCTTAGGGGTCCCATGCTAGGACGAAACGGCCATCCAGTTCTTTCAGGTTTTCAGTGATGGTCTAACATTAATCCATTCATGAAACCAATTTAAACAGAACAATGTCCACAACCCTATACTGATAAAATTATGGATTGTGTTATTTAATATTTAATAACCTACATCTAGCTAGATATAATAAAAAACGTAAATTTACAAATTATTTTAAACTAAAATGATAGAAATAACAGATGAGTCGGTTTTATTTATTCACATTTTTGTGAATATCATTACAGCAATTAAAGAAAAAAGAATTATAGAAACTCAGTATAGTGTCTTCGAGTTCAATAAAAACATGGACCAATTTCACAAAAATTTACTTTATTAAAATACAAAAAATCTTTAGTTAACCGACTATTTCGATACTGAATGTTAAAATTTAAACTTTGCTGTAATTATAAATGTACTGTAAGTAGTACCTTTGTATTTTCATGTAGTCTATAAATTGATATTACTATGTATGTAACATGGAATGAACTCTTTTATGAGCCTGTCTGAAGATCGTGTGTTAAACCGATAGTATTTAAAACCTAATGTATTTGTCTATTAACTTCTGTGCTTATCAGATAAGTATAACAGTAGTTCAGCAATCAGAAAAATGAAACTTTCCACAAAATCGACATAAACATACTCATTACAATTTTTCGGCATAATAGTTTTATGTACAGTTAACCTACGGATATTTGTGACGGGTCATATATTTAGTAAGTGGTTACTGTTATCTATTTAAGTGTTAACGAGATTCAGTTAAGTAAGTTTTTAAAGAAGTAAAATAAAGTTTCTTCTTATATCTGCTAATATTTATTAACACCGATGTTGGGAATAACTCAAATTTCGTTTCTCCTCTGGCTTAAAATCTTTCAATCGATTTTGCATAGACTTATATCGGAATCGTTAAATATCACGACTTGAATTTTCAGAGCAATTAGAATATATGAGATAATACTGTCGAATTTACATTGTGTGAAAGGTGTTTTTCAAATCCTGATAATGGTTTTCATGAAGCAATTGTAGCACATATTCAATACATTCCTAAATGATCAAGACTTACATAATCCTTTCTATAATTTTGAAGATTATTATTCTTATCAACATAAATGTGAGATAGTAATTTACTGATAACAACGGTGGATGTGTCGCTTAATTTCGTGGATTAGTTGAAGTTAGACATTAACACCGCAGGATGCCGGCTCAGTGGTCTAGTGGTTAAGCGCTCACGCGCGAGACCAGTAGGTCCTGGGTTTGAATACTGCGAGCCGAGGTCGGTGATACGCACTGCTGAGGAGTCCCACAATAGAACAGAACGCCTGTCCAGTGCTTTCAAGTTTTCCACGGTCGTCTAACTTCAATTGACTCATGATCTCAACTATTGAAATTACTAAAATCTCCACAAAACCCCTTCTGATAATAAATGGAACAAACAGTTTGCTATGAAGGCTTCATAAATGATTGTACATATGTTACTTCTGCATGAATAAACCTTTTGAAAGACTGAACTTGATTACTTCTATCTCGTCTCAATAAAAATTACTTAAAAATAGAAATAAAATGACTTTGTATGAACAGATTTACTAATTCAACATAAAGATTAAACGCTGATTCGCATATCATCAACAGTGTTTCTGATTTGTATTTACAATTTATACTAAGTAAAATTTGATTACTATCATTAAGACGTTATTAAGTTTCTCAGAATATAGATTTCTTCTAGATATCTTCTTTCTGAATAGTCAAAGAAAAAAGAAATACATCTGCAAACTAGTTATAAGGTGAATGTTTCTAATAGTTCATTATAAAAACAAAATTGTTCATGAAAGATATATATTACACATTCTTAATATTTTTTATATAAACTCAATTTAAATATATCAAATAGATTTATGATACCGTATCTACTTTCATTATTAAGAGGCCATTAAAGTCTTGTATAATTATCAGTATACCTTGAACGAATTTTTTTCCAGATTATTTATTGATTTTATGCACAAAACATATTTACAAAAATATTTTATTTTTAGCGAAATAAATCATCCAATATTTCTACCGATTTTTCAAGTAATACTAAATCTACACAAATGGAAGGGAATAAATTAAAATCTACTATGGCTGATGAACAGGTTAACTTAACATATGTAGCGTCTAAAGCAAGAATTGCAGTTAAATCTCAATTATATAATGAGTATTTAGTACATGATGAAAATATTGATCCACATGTTAGTTAAACGTTTTTATTTCTTTTATCTTCATTAAATTTTCTAATGATTTTCTTTTACGTTTCTTAAACCTAGTTCATTGAATGTTTTTTTTTCGTATTTTTCTATTTTCTGCTCATATAACCATTGTAAACTATGCACATTATAATAAAAGTAATTCCAGTTTTATACAGTTTTGTTCATCGATCATTTTTATATGATAATATCCTCAAACAACCTTCTTCGAATCAAATGTATGTAAATATCAGATTATTTCGCATTAAATATGATTAAAGCAGTTGTTTCAAACTTAAATAGACTTTTCTTCTTCCAAACAGTCACTAGTATTTAGCATCCTCGAAAAACGTTTTCAGGAGTCCGACAGAATGTTGGAAATCTGATAAGATATGTATTTACTTTGTAATAGCTTAATCCATTCTTCCTATGTTTGGTTTTCTATGAGCATATGGTCCTTTCAACAAAACAGTCAATTAGATTCACTCCGTCGAATATCAACTCTCTTTTCTTGGTCCGTTTTTACAGTCATATAGTAAAAAAGGTATTACCAGTGATTTGTGTCTTGAATATATTGCATACCGGCAATCTTAGGAAAACTGGTGCTTCCTGAGAAATCCGGCCCTGGATCACCTGCTAACTAGCTCCAACCACTTAAAATCTTGACATAGTACATGTCATGCAAAAACATCTAGGCTAGTGATCACATTGCAACCCGATTGATACAGTTTTATCAGTCTTAAACGACTGAAAAACGTCATATTTGTCACTACTTAGTTATTAATCGATCGTATGAAATTATGAAAAGCTAAGTGAAGTTTTGTAGAAAAAATCAGTTTTTGCATATTCAAAACCACAAGTTTTTGGTTAATTCATCATCTATTCCGATGCTTTTGCAAAAAGCATATGTGCTAGATAGGGTAATGTAGACCTTTTGTTCTTTTCTTTGATTACTTGAACATTTTAAAGTATAACCAATTAACAATAAACACTTTTTTATTTTCTATCTTAAGCATTTGTTAGATACAATGAATGTTTCAAAAAAACAACACTATGGATCAGATAATGTCTTGAATAGGAACGATGATTCTGATTCAAAAGGATCATTAACAGTAACTGGAAAAATGAATGATCGATTGAATGAGATGCCTTCTATTCCACAAGTACGTAGTTTTATGTGAAAACGTAAAGTAAAACTATGTTGAAATATTACAAATTTAGACAGTTAATATAAAGTATTTTAACCTTTTATTACAGTCTTGTAATCCGATTTTTTAGCCTTGGTTAAAAATTTCTCTGGTTTATGAAATCACGAATTTATTTACGTATGGTACTCTCCAGAGGTATTCGTTCTCGACCCACCAAGGATCGAACCTAGGATCTTGTCTAATATTACTGAACAGGAGATTTGAGCATGATGGAAAATAAGAAAAATTTATTCATGTACAGTCATATATTTCATGATTTTATTACGGCTCAATGGAAAAATTGTATTTAATATTAGGTATATAAACTTGATATATAAATTTATTTATGTTTTCTAGAAATTATGAGATGATTTCCTGATGAAAAAATAATTAGAGGGTTATCAAACCCTTCTTAACATACCACAGTGCTATATCAACCTACTATCCCTGTAGTATATTACATAAAATGAACATCATCGCTGTCACAAGAGTGAGTCTACGAAGTTCATGTTCTGTGGAGCTCGGTTATGTAATTCATTCGCATGCTCATCCACACTCTTCAATCATAGTCAATTATCAAACGTTATGAGGTTTGCCTTCATATATTCCGTCAACTTAATGGAAAATGATTTTTAAGTACAGAGTATTATGTTCAAATTAGTAACTAGACATAATTGCATTCACCATGAGATTGTAACATAGAAAGCTTTGTTTTGAATAGAATTAAGAGTGTAATTCGATTAAATGTGTTGTTTTCTGATAAAAACATATCTAATTCACTTTACTTTTATATAATTCCTCAAACTAACTTAATTTCCTACAAATCACATAAAACCAGTTTAGCAAGAAATTTTCGGAAATTTATACCACATTGAAGCAAATATACTTTTATATATTCTGTTCACGACAGATACATATTATGTTCAGAATAACTTTTATCAGAAGTATTCCTTTTGAAAATTATTTACCATATTGTGCAATATAAATTTCTAAAGAATATGTTCGGAAAACTTATTTTTCTTTAATATATAATTATTATTACTAGCTCATATTATTCAGAAAGAATATTTCTGATCACTAAGATGAATTCTCGATATTCTGTAAAAAAAAAACAGCGCACAACTCACACTTTCGATTCACTTTTTAGTTGAAGTAATAATTTCAAAGTAATATATGCTTTCTGAATACTACACAAATTGATTTATTAATACATTCAATAAATCAGATGTAGTTTCATTTTATTGCCGCTAAGGAACACTTTTTTTTCGATGTAACCAGATTGATTAAACTGTAGCAGACGGACCAGAGTTAAACCTTTCAGCTCAGGAGCTGAAATTTAAATAAACAAACTATTCAGCTACTGATATTAAGATATATAGTAATTTATCGTTCTGAAATGTACGTTCTCTAGCATAATTCTACTTATTATACAAATTATCTATCCATCTAGGACTCAGTTTATTGAGTCGTTAAATTCCTTTTCTTTTCTGTTAAAACTATGAAAAAAAGTATTAAAGTTAACTTGTGTAATCAATTAATATTTAAGATCATTCTGATTATAATCAATAAAGTTCCTACCATGTCACCAATGTTTTTTGACTTTTTTTAATCAGAAGTCATTTGGTTTACTTACAACGGTTAAATGTAAGAGCCCAAAACCAACAAATCCAATCTCGAAGTCTATATTAGAAGATTTACGTGAAACTTTGAATGATACTGACTTATCCTCTGCTTCCATATCAATATCCCCGTTACAAGTTACAAATTTAACCATTAATGAACAGTCATTAATAAATACTACTAACGAATCCCCGTTCAATAGTGGTTTTGTTGCCAAGGTTCGTTGATGGGGTCAAATTATATATATATTGTTTACAATATGCATAAATCTTATGCACTATAAAAAAATATGAATCAATTCCATATTATTCAACTTAATTATAATGTTAAATTCATCAATAATACACCACTGATTGTTATAATATGGTGGTCAGCTATTTATTATGTGTTTAGTAATTTTCGATGATAAAACTTATATTTAAGGTTGATATGTCCTTCTTCACCAATAACAATATATATTTTTTACGCTAAGATTATAATTATTTATTTGTATTTATAGCAGTCATCTGGTTATCACTTTTACTATTTGAATCAAATCATTGATTTTGACTGATAATATATATTATGTATCTGGATTTGATGGGTTGCGTTGTGGAAATCGATATTACCACTCTATAGAAAGCAAACAAATCATTAAAGATAGTTTTACATCATGAAGTATCATTGAAAGTTAAGAACATTGGACTATTATATCATCTTATGTTTGACCTCTTTTAATATTTTGAGTAGGCTCTTGCGAAAAAAACTTAAAAAATAATAATAAATCACTGACAATTGTACTTTGTTTCCTAATGATTTCTATTTAATAACAATTCATAACAGATAAATAATATTCAACCTGAATCAATCTCTACAATTCATTCACTTTAAAATATTATTTAAATCCATTGTTTTTCCTACTAGTGTAATAATTTCATTCTGGAATTCTCACTTGTTATTGCCCTCCTAATAAAAAAAATACAGATAAGATACATTTAAAGATTTCGTAATAATAATAATCGATATGCTAAATATCGTATATTTGCATACATCAAAAATTTCACAGCACAAAATATGTAGTATCTCAGTAAACTTCCATTTCTTAACCTTTTGGAATTAAAAAAAATTAGTACAAAATGTTTTACAAGTGATTATCTACCATTCATTTTCTTTCATAAATGTTCACAATCAATCTTGATTCCATAACACTTATTTCGTCGCATAATGAATTTGATGTATTTTATAGCAATTACCTCTGATATCTACAAAGAACAGATGAAAAGAAAAATGAACCAAGAACTAATAGTTCCTCCTAAATTAGTGTTACGTCTTAACCGCTTTACAAAAGTATTTAAGTACATGTGGTCATCACGTATAATCGGTCAGCTAAAATAAATAAAACAGAATGATCTATGTTAATAAATGTGAACAGGTTCCTGGATAAGTTACATGATAAATTACTTTGACAGTAAAATTCACACTTGCGATATGAGTTCATGGTTTGTATGTAATTCTGTTACTAATAATTGTAGAACTTTCTTCGTAATGAACCAGAAGGACCTAAATCGAGCAAAATGTTTACAGTTACACCGTAACTATGAATCTTTATATATGCTTTTCTTATTATAACGCAGGTTACCGAAGTGCCAAACGAACAAATCGACTGTACTTCAACAGTCATAGAATCTTCTGTAAACAAATATTTAGACACAAAAGGTGGAGACTCACAACCTAAGGAAATGACTTCAAATAAACGTTTACCTTATCTTACTTTAGGTCAGACTAGCAGCTACCATTTTTTTCCACAACAGTATCGAGGAGTTTATCAAAATCCTCTAAAATCAGACCAAACAAATACGTATAATCCTGGGACTGTTTCTTCAGGAATGGGATTGTCTTCACTGTCACCACTGTTAACCAATAGTCAAACAGTTAGCAAGCACGAAAATAACCCTACTTTTCAGTCTACCAATGTTTTGACATCTTCATCCATCGCTTTGCAGACATGGACAACACAAATAAGTTCTTCTAATACAAGCAACTCATCCAAGTACGTTAATCTCTTTTTAAGTTCGACGAAAACATTAAGTAGTTTCTCTTTTTTGTTATTATCTTTCGAAAGATTGTTAGTTTAAACAAACGCCTCAACAAAATTCATAGATAAATCATTATTTCACTCGGAAAGTACATGATGTACCAAAAAAGTGGGATTTTAGTGTAAAAAATGATTTAATTTTGTGTAGCAAATTGTTACATAAATCCCCTAAATTTTTCTCTCTATTTCACACTTAATCTATTTACTAACTAAGTGAAACTTTCCAAAAACCAACATGTTTAGACTATAATATAAATATAATTGTTTTCTATTGTTTGTAAATGACTAACTGCTCAATATGGTTTTGGTTAACATGTAGTAGTTGTAGCTCTTTTCCATACAAATGAAACAGATATGAAAATTTTATAGTAATCATTTGTTGTCTTTATGTTAAATAAACAATTTGAGCAGTTTAATAAATTAATTAATCAAGGCTTATCTCCTTAAGTGTGACTAATGGGAGTTAATCAAATAAATTCTGAACAATTCGGTTACATACATATTTGTAAGATGATTGTCTAAAATCTATTGAATAAATCATACTTTTCAGTTCAACTCTGTCAAATTCAAAACACTTTTGGAATTTATAAAATAAACTGATGGTTTGGAAAGACTTTAATCAATATTCAGGATGTATTTCTCGATTGATTAAGGACTCCTTAGCTAAATGTTTCTACGTTTTAATGTTAATGTTCTGAGTGATCTTCTAGAACTGTAAGACAGTTTTCCATCAAAATAAGTAGTAATGATTGTGATCAATTGTTCAAAGTTTATAATATACATATGTATGTATACATTATTTCCTATGTTTCCTCTTTATCTTTTGAGGGATTCAAAAAGTCGACGATATTATCAACCTTCAAATCACCACAGCAAATCAACATTTTCTTTGCAATTTCCTATGAATATCAGTCATTCAGTTTGTCAACCGATTTCAACTTCGCTAAGCAATCACTATCATAATCATAATCACCATCTCTCCATACTGCAGCCAATTGGTATTATGCCTTCTCCAAATATCTTTGATACAAATCATGATTATTTACATCCCGAACAGACTGAATCACGTAGTTATATTGGTCATGTAAATTTTTCAACACGTTCACCGCTACAAACTTTGTCTCAACAGAATGTTTTTAAAAAATCATTTACATCAAATAGTACAGCTGGTACAAGTAAACAGGATAATACATATTCTCTTACTGGTAATCAACACTCATTTAGTCCACAAGTTTTACCAGCTTTTACATGTTCTTCATATTCCACAAATCAGTATGGTACCAATACAAAGCCTAATCATAATAATCAGTTTCCTATAAATAGATTACGCAATTCAGATAGTAAGTTCATATGGTTTATTTTACATTTCTTTTAACCTTAGTTTTTTTTAACAAAAATGTTATAGTGCACCATATTTTTGGTGAAGCAAAATGAAGTAGAAATCCTCTCGATTAATATTTATTTATATGTAGAATGTCATCATTTATGAGTAGCTTTGGATCAGAATTATAAATGATTTTTCGGTTGTTGGAAATAGATGATCCTGTAATAGTTTTTTTATTTATTTGCCGTTCTAAGATGAGACCACATGTTACGTGGAAAGCATTCTAAGTGTTTGATGATACATAATAAGAGAATGACATTTGGATAGAGAAGAAAGAAATTCATTATACTCCATTTTAAGTAGTTAATTATCTATGATACTTGTCAAGGGAACACTAATAAAAGTGGTATTCAAAGTCAAAATGCTAGAAAACAAATTACCCTTTAGTTTGACATCTATTCTTAAAAAGTAAATTCATTTATGACAAACGAGTTATGGCGAAATATGATAAAAACTGTTTAGGATTGTTACAGTCCCGAAACATCCATCTTACTTTACGAATTTGCAATACCTGTTTTTATTTTAAAACTGATAGTCAATTCATGTTTCATTACGACTTCATTTGCTTCATAGATTATTTAACAATTAGTGTCAGCAATTTTTTACAATATAAATTGTATATACTGTTAGTTGAAACTTATTAGCTGTTCTTCAAACCTCTATTGTATTTCTTGTGTGTTCTTATACTCACTATTATAGAGTTCTGGCTTGGAAGCTTACCCAGAAGATGAATAACAGTTTATTATTTGAAAATAAATTTTAGATATATACTCATCTGTATTCCTTATGATAAGTGAATATATATTCATTATGTTTCAAGCATCTGTCAGGTATTACTGATATATTTCAAAAATAATATGACTACTGAAAGATTACTACTTATACCTAACAGGCTCATATAATTTCTTTATCGATAAATTTCTCTATGAATACCTTGACGCTTATAGACAACTAAAGAAAAATTGATTACCCATAAATTCTAGATATTCTTTTTTATTCTCACTATTTATATTAACCTGTAATTTCAATAATTATTGTAATAATAAATTTTCTATGGCCTATCTTCAAAGGTTTAGCTCTTACTTCTTGACGAAAAATAAATATAATTTATTCTCTTGTACATTTTTGCTTTTCTATTAACAAGTAAAAAACAATACTGAAATATACAGTTAAACATTACTTGAACTAATTAGTACATTACAGATATTTCAGGTCATAAGTAAACTGCTAAAATATGACACAACCGTTTGCTATGTTCATGTTCGAGATACTATATTCTATACTTTTGTTATATTTAGTTTGGATACCCAATGTTTTAGATTGCCTAGACCTGATTATATTTGGAAGATTTACTAAAATAATAGAAAATAACAATGATATTTAAATATTACTTTCATAAACATCATACACTCTTAAAAACAGCTATCAGGTTTCTTCAATGATGCTGTCAGTTACTAGTTAGATTCATTAAATTAGGTCATAAATTCCAACACATTACTTACTGGGTAATTTTGGCTTATAAATCTATCAAAATGTTGTTGGATAACAGTGAAATAAATCTATCCAGCTAGTTTGTATTCACAATTAGTAAATAATTTGCAAGTTATTTATGTATAGTGATTTTTTTGTAAAAATCAAGTCTCAAATTCATTTTAATGCTTCAATTTAATGTTATTCTGCTGAATGAGCCAATCGGATCATTTACATGAATTAGATCAACTCAAACTCAACCGAACAATCCAAAACTGCCACTTGTAAATATCAACGTTGCACACCCCATAATAGCAGTTTAAGAATTTGTCGTATGATCATTTCTCTACGTTGTTGTGGTGACATTCGTGAATCTGTCCTAAATTCCCTTGATATAGGTTCTTTCACGTGGCTATATTTTCTTTCCTTATGCGTAAAATTATTCCATCAACTATCTATATAAATGTGTTTTGTGTTAACCTTTTGATCTATCTGAAATTATTATTTTGTTATTGTTTTACGGTTTTGATTCTTTTTCGTTTTTTTAATGACGATAATAGATTTTGTTCTAGTTAACTTCATATCCTGGCGACTGTTATGTTGGGTGGACTAGTTCTTGACCATTATTGTTTGATTTGATTAAACTGATTTATAAGGAAAGGATATAAACTTCTTCATTATTGTTGGGAATGTTTACTTTTGCTGACAAGTAATTTGTTGTGCGATCCTTGAATTTTCATGTAATTATTATCTTTTGGTTCAATTGGTTAACTCTGGCATAAATTGGATTTTTTCGCGTAAACGGTAGTTCCCTGATGGACAAAGACAGCTCCTTACATTGACAAGTAGTTGTTGTGCATATTAACACAATCGGTTTCTTAATTTGATCCCCCGTATTTTTGTGGGTATAAAATGGTTTTGTAGACCTAATCAAATACTGTTCAGGTACTGTAAAGTTAATAATGATAGTAACAGTAATCATATTAATTTACTGGAAAATAACCACTACTTACGTAAAACATACCGATTCACAGGGCGAGATCAGATTGTTAAAAATTTTTACGAAATTTATTGTAAAAAAAACTAGACTACCCAGTTCACGTTTTGCGTTGTAACGAGAGTTTTGCCACAGAAATAGGATAACAAATGTCGGTGCATAAAATACGTTTGATGAAATTGAAACGGAAATGCACGGCGTCAACGTTAGTGCATTGTGTAGATTTTGTAATTCAAGGATGAACTGTTATCTGAAAATAATCCAGATATGGTACAGTGATCTTATAGTTAATAGTCCACATTTCTGCATATAGTTTGTTATCTCTTGTTACTGGTCTATAAGTAGTTGCTATAACAGGCTTTTGGAGAAAGAATTCCTGCTGGAAGTACAATGTAAGGAGTATGTCCTATTTGAATTTTCTGGAAGTATACTTCGAGTGTTGTGTCACGATATTGTATTAAATAGTAACATATGAGATGTTCTGAGCATCTTTTCCATCAATTCGCTTGTTCACACTGATTCGGTAGGACCATTGTTATCATGAAATTCGGGGTTGTATTGAGACAGGTCTATACTGGTGTGCGTCCATCTATAAGAAGAAAAATATGAGAAACTGAGCGAGTGACCAAATATATGTAGATATGTCCTGTGAAACACAATATACTTTTGTCCTATTTTTCTGACTTATCTGTCTGTGTGGTAGGCAGTGATTCATCATAAGTAACACATGTTCCAACTATCTCAGTTAATGAAGATTAACTACCTCATCAATCGATTTCACAACTTTGCATATGTACCTACCCTTAACCCAAGTATTGCTTACTCAGTGGTCCCGAAATACATTAGTGATGCTCCGAAGATATCTATGGTTCATAAACTAAAATCCTGCCAGTATACTCTATTCTTAATGGTCATGCTTCACATCCATAAAATGGAAAGGAGAAACCTCTTTCATATTAAATTTGCTCTCTGTTTTGAAGACAGATATCCCGCTTACGCTACAAGTGACTTAGGTTAACAAAAACCAGTCTAGCCTTCTGAGTCCGTGTCGGTACCCCTCCAGACACCGAACAACCAGGCCCGATGACACTTCCAAGACATGTGAAGCGGTCGACATCACTGCCCATCACTAATTCCGTCAATCTCAATGGCATTTTACATTTGAAGGGGTAGAATCGCATTTCGAGCATGCTTGTATTGTTGCTTAAAGTGTTTAAAAAACCTGCATTGTGTAAACATGTTCACTAAACAGTCAACAAGTAAGTCTCCTGGCAAGAGAATTTAACAGAAAGTGGAAAAAGTGGATAACCTTGACGAACAACACTTGAAGTAACCAATTCCGATGACAAATTGCCACACGCTCTGACTCGATCTGAAGTGTCCGAGTACAGATCCTGCACAAAGTTAATAATTTTCTTTCGCACTATTTTCGAAGACAGAGAATTCCACAGAACCTCACGAACAACAAGCTGTACGATACATTAAGGCCAAGGAATACAACTATATTTGGACGTTGAAAAGTATGTCCATGTCCCAGGAGCTGCCAAGGGTGAATATTTGATCTACGTATCCATATTCAGATCTAAAACCAACCTGATTTTCTCAAATTCGTTTTAATTAAGCCCTAATTAGACGTCGAAATATTATTGAGGCTAATGATTTAGACATTAAATTAGTTGAGCTGACTCCTTTTTGTATGTCATCAGAGGATTTTTGTCCCTTCTTGTAGATTGCAACGATAAGCGATCAAGACTAGTCAGATGAGATTACGTCCGGTTACCAGATTTTAGACAATATTTTAGTTAGTCCTACAGCCAACATTGGACCACCATCTCACGGACTGGAACAACAGGCCCTGAGGCTCTCCCCAGCTTTATATCACTTATGTCCTCAATCTCACTAAAATTCGGCGGATTTGTGTAAGTTTGTCATTCAGGTTGCTTGGAGACAGCAGGTAACTGAAGTCTAACTGTTCTGTCCATCGGTTCAAAGCCAGATAAATAAGTTCCCAAGCACCTAACAACTCAGCAGACATCGCTGAAATCAAATAATTTTTCCTAACATTTCAGTTTAGCTTGCTATTACACATCAATGCTGTTTTTATAATCTTCCGTATATCATGCCAAACTATCTCAGTTTAGATGCCGTTTCAATGGTTGACTGGATCATTCTCTAGCTGCCCCTGAAATATATTCCTATTATTTTGTAGTAGGCGTCGAGTAGCGGTTGACTGTGGTCATCATCACACATCGGATAAACGGATTATTTGATTAGTATAAAAATTCGATGGAACATTCGTCTTGAATTCATCAGTATAGGGTTGTGGAGATCGCTGAGTTTCAATTGAGATCATGAACCGATCAGTGTTCGACAACCACTGGAAACTTGGAAGCACTGGACGGCCGTTTCGTCATAGTACGTGATCTATCAGCAGTGTGCATCAACGATCTCCACACGGGACTCAAGCCCATGACGTTCAGTCTCGCGCGCAACCACTCAACCTCTAGACCACTGAACCAACATCCGACGGCGTTAATGTCTAACTTCCACCGATCCACGATGTTGTGCAGCCATCGTCTTGAATTCGATTCAACAAAATAATCGTCATTACTTCTGACAGTAGTCATGATGTCATGTTCTGTTTTGCTTCGTTATCCAATCACTTACGTACTTCTAAACGCTTGGCCAGTCAGCTATCTTAATAGAGAAGGCAAATACTTCATGAAATGCTGTGCTGTTGAATCTAAATAATACTTGAGTTTACATAAGTCATTGGATGACATGAACATCTGGGTGGTAACTTTGACTTGATTACAATAGCTTGTTCAGACTTGTATCCTCAACCTACTAAACGTAAGATAGCATTTGATTCACTTGAACTTACCGGTCATATCACGCCCTTCTTTAGAAAGTATGTACTCCGCTTAAGTCACATTCATCCAGGTAAATCACATTTACTAGTGGCTATTGTTCTCTGTTGACTGTCAGGTCGGAGGGACAAAACAAATTTCGTCTGACTGAATGCATGCGTTTAAATCTCTTATAACCATGACTCTGCAACATATGTGAACTTCACTCTGCACATAGCTACTGCGTTCGTCCAGGAGTGTTTGGGCTACAAAATAATCTTTATCAGGTAACTAATTTGAATTGACCATTGATGCGAATGTTATCTGATTTCATATGTCCCTGGTCTCTAAAATAATATTTAAACCCAGTAATTGGATGACCAATTTTAATAAGACACTTCTTGAAGCCAAGTCA